TAAATTTACACTAATCTACTGAGAAAAACGTTAGATGGGAAGGAGACATGGAGTTCCTCTTGACTGTGGAACTTACGAGTTGGAGAGGATATTTGACAACTTTTTGTTTTTATTAAGGAACTCTTTTACCAAATTGTTGGAGGGGACTTTTTTCTTTGTGCTAAAGGATTAAAATAAGGAGTTGTTTTACAAAACTTCTCGAGATGCTCTTGAGCCCTGTTTGGATCTTCAAAGAATTATGGAAATCTGGATAGTAGATAGTGATTTTGAGAATCTGTATTTTGGATAATAATAATAATAATAATAATAATAATAATAATAATAATAATAATAATAATAATAATAATAATAATAATAATAATAATAATAATAATAATCCAATATATTTGGATTCTCGAATTATATTCTTTTACCAAATTATTGGAGGGGTCCTTTTTTCTTTTTGGCCTTACAAAAGACCATGAGCACCACCACCAGAATTATCTCGAGTGCACCCAAGATAACCTCAAAACAGTAATAGTCACATAACTGAACAAACAACTTTTACACCTAGATAATTTACCTTGACATGTTGCGATGTTGTTGGCTGATGACATTTTGCCATGACTTTTTCCCTTTTTTTCTTCGGGAAAAGACATGGATTTTTTTTTTTTTTGAGCAACCGGAAAAGACATGGAATAGGTGGACTTTGTAAGCTTTGAGATGGGTTGCTTTTATGAAGCGAATGGGCTGACAGCACGATTCGTTTCCGCACGACGGCCCATTGGACCATCAGACACCGGATTCGAACCTCCCAAAGTCCCAAGCGGCCAAGCGTCCCGGCTCCCCTGCCGCCGATCTCTCGTATCCTCTGCGTCGACTACAACTGCCCAGGTGTGATTTCCTTCTCTCTTCCTCCTTGTCACCCGTTTGAGATTCAGATTTTAGGATCGTATACACGTCGAATTAAGTTGCAATAGGAGTAGGATTTAGGCGGATTGATTCTTGTCTTACCATTGGAGTTCGAACCGCAGGGCGTCAAGGATCAGGAGAAGAAATCAAGCGAGCAAGAAAGGTCGGAGGATGCCAAAGCGGCGGTCCGATCCCGACGAGCGTGGCGGAGACCGTAAGGCAAGAAGAAGGCCGATGCGGCGGCGGCACCTCTATCTCGTCTTGGACGACTGGTCGCTGGGGTAGTCCATCCGCAAGATCGATCTGGCGGCGGCCTACGGATGCTACGCCGGCCTACAACCTGTGCCGAGACCCATCCTCCAACTGGAGGGGCCGAGCGAGTTGCACGTGTCCATGTATTTCGCGGCCTCCTCGGGCTCATCAAAGATCATGGCCATGCATCCCCAGCTGAACGACGCCCGCTGCTTCGACGTCCGCTCGAGGTCCCTCGTCTACGGCCCTCGGCCCGACGACGGCGAGGTTCGAAATCCATGGAATAACCGCCATGTCTGCCCTGTCTTCATCCCCGTCGGCGACAGGCTCTGCACTCTGTGGGGGCGCTCCATCCAGCTCCTCGAACCGCCGCCGCCGCAGCAGGAGTCCGCCGGTGGCCACCTGTGGTGGTGGTCCGAGCTTCACGCGGAACTGCCCTTCGATTCCAGCTGCGTCACCTCCTAAGCCGTGCACCCCGACGGGCGAACCGTCTTTGTAACTTTCAAGAAGAAAATATTTGCCCCCTGGCGCGGCGGAGGGACGGACTCAGAGCCAACACAGGACACCACCCTCTGCCTCGACGTGCACGAGAGCACGGACTGCGCGCTGAGAGGCGAATTTGACTGGGCGCTGCCTTTCGACGGCGGCTCCTACTTCGTCAGCGAGCTCAATGCCTGGGTAGGGCTCTCTGGATCCTATGACAGCATTGGCCACCTCTGCGCCTGCTCCGTGGTGACCCCTGGTTCCACAAGCTGTTCTACCCCGTCTTGGAAGACCAGCAAGGAGGAGGTGATCAGTAACAACCTGGCCGAGTTCTACCTGGGCGCCACCCTTGTCTACCTGGGAAGCGGAAGCGAGTTCTGCCTCGTGGAGGCCGTCAGCGTGAGCTACAACTACGTCTGTGAGGGGCCGCTCATGCCCCAGCCATTTGACGCTCTGTTGCAGTTGAAGTGTTATGGCAAGGGGAGTCGGCCAGGGGTCCACGTGGTACTGTAGCGACGTGGTGGTACTGTAGCACGTGATTAGATTAGATTAGATGGTTTGGTTTGCTAGGAACAAGATATGTGGTTTGGTTTGTTATGAAAGATATATGTTAGATTGATTCGGTTAGAATATTTTTTTAGAGGTCAAGTTAATCATCTCTATAAAAGAGAACCCTGTATCATTTATAGTCAAGTAAGAAATAACAATTAAGTTGTTGGCTTCCCTGGGAGCCAGCCGTCCCTGCCCTCTCTCCCTCTCAATCCTAGCAGCCACGTAACAATCTGGTATCAGAGATCTTTGGTTCGATCATGTGGTTCGATCATGTCCACCCGCTGCCATCAGCGTCTTCGTCGGTGCTACTGCCACATATCGGTAGCACACGCAAGCATTAGGCGTACCCACGTCCTCAGGGGTGATCACGCCCTCTGCCCCGGCGCCATCGTCTCCCGCCACCCTCATCCTCACCGGGCGCAGATGCGGCCGTAATCACGGAATTACGGCGGGTCGTGGCGAGCATCGAGGCCTTCCTCGCCCGCGACCACGGCCACGGTCATCTCGTACCGAAGATGGGATGCCCTCGACCAGGCTACGACGACCTCGTTCCCGCCGTGCCACCGCCGTCCTGTATGTTCCCATCCAATGAGATCAAGTTCCCGCCGTCGCCGTCACACGCTTCCGCTTTGATCGCGGTTCGTTGAAACCCATCTACACGGCGCCCGATGCCAACCCGCACCTATCGCCGCTTCCGCCCATCGGTTTGTCTTGGCGCTGGCGGCGCCCGGCTCGGCGTCTTCTGGCGAGGCGCGTCGCCCTCGATGGACAGCACGGGCGCGGCACCCTCGGTCGCCAAGACACGAGCCCGTTGGAGTTCGCCACATCACCAATAAAGGCCTGCTACCATAACTCCGGCGGTCTCATCACCGGCTTGACAGAACGACCCGCCAAAGACTAGTGTCACCAATCTGAGCGATCATCCATGCACCGACATTGGCGGACATGATGCCTTTGTCGCCGCCTCTGAGCCACAACCGACCGATCCTCGAGGTGGCCGGGTACATTTGCATCGCGCTTATTCTCCGCCGGCTCAGCAACAGGCCTTCAAAGCTCCATCGGTCGCTTGGAGTACGCCTCTAGCACAACCCCGCTCGGCTGCACCCATAGCGGGGGTGGCTGCTCGTGGAGGGCACCATCGACTCCACGTGCAGGCGCTCCATGGATTCGATCCAGGCGGATTCGATTCCATGCAGATCAGATAGAGCAGCCAAGTTTGGCACCTCGAGGAGGAAGCAGGTCTGCCATGACGATCTTCTCTGGACCGCAAGGTCTTCCGCTCCAGCAATCGCCATAGCTCGAGGACGAGCTGTCTTCGAGGGGTGGAGTGGTGTTATGGCAAGTAGAGCCGGCCTAGGGGCCCACGTGGTACTGTAGCGATGCGGTACTGTAGCGCGTGATTAGATTAGATTAGATTGTTTGGTTTGTTAGAAAAGAGATATGTGGTTTGGTTTGTTAGGAAAGATATATGTTAGATTGATTCGGTTAGGATATTTTCTTAGGGGTCAAGTCAGTCATCTCTATGAAAAGAACCATGTATCAGTTATAGTTAAGCAAGAAGCAACAATTAAGTTGCTGGCTTCCCCTGGAGCCAGCCGTCCCTGACCTCTCCCCCTCGCATGAACAGTACCCGAGGTACTGTAGCTCGTAGCCGCCTCTCCCTCTCAATGCTCTCTCGGGGCTGACGAGAATGGAGACCTGACGACCGGCAACACCCGCCGTCTCCGGTACTACAGCTTGCCTGAATCAGTTACTAGGCCTTGGCCTTAGATGCAGCATCCTGTGGCGTTCCGGTTGTAATAAACAGACCACCATCATAGAAATTCTACTAGGTTGGATGTAAAACCAGCAGTTACTTTTTGCTTGCTCTGATTTGTCTCTTGTGTTTTGGCTAATGGAAACAAGATCTCAGTATGCGTGGCGTTTTAACAGGTTTTGACGTTTTGTAGCTGTGCTTCAGTGCTTGTATGGAGAAGGAGATGCACTTTTGGTCAAATAATGCTTCTCTTGTCCATCATTTCTTTTGTTACCTCCTGAGATCAATGAGCTTCAGTTCGTTATATCTTGTTGAAACCATGAAGTTCGCATGTCCACAACAGCAGCACTGAATATTCTTGCTTCCATCCACTGCATAGCTCGTTTTCAATGCTGATAATCTATTGCTTGCCATTATATATACGGCAATGCTAGTGGGAAGAACACCCACGCCTACGCATGAACTCTGTTTTGCCTGCCCCACACGGAGCCCGCGTCGCCTTGAACGTCACCAGCATCGAGAAGAAGGGAGGGGGCAAAGCCCGCCTACGTCTCTGGTTTGGATTCCCAACCTGTGATGGGAGCAGGACTTTCGAAACATCCAGATGCAACACTTGCAACATACGTCTGAAGACAGATGAAACACTTGAAACATACATCTGAAAACACTTGTGAAACACCTCAAAACCATTGTAAAACATACGCAACATCCAGATAAAACACTTGCAACATATGTGTGTAACACATGCAACATCTAAATAAACATACTTGCAACATACGTATAAAAACAGATAAAACATATGGAACAGAAGCTTGCAACATATGTATACAACAATTGAAACATATGCAACATCCTGTTCTACTTTTGCAACATCCATGTGAAACAATTGCAATATACCTATGAAACACTTGAAATATAGGCTTGCAACATGCATTTTTCACCCTTCTTCCGCACGACGCAGCATAGAGCGGAGGAACGTCCAGTCCCGACTAGCCGACGGTCGAGGATGGTGGCGCGGCCTGGCAGCGGCCGGCTGCACCTACGCCTAGCCTAGGCCCGTCCAGCGATGACCTTGCTGGCCAGAGATGATGGGGGTACCGGTGAGAGCGCGCGCGACCTCATCGGGCATGAGCGCGAGAGATAGGGAGGCACCCTAGGGGCCCGGCATGCGCGCAACTGCGGCGGTGAGGGCGGGGCACGATGCGTTCAGGTGGGAAGCCAAACGGGAGAGGTGGTGCTGGAGGAAGGATGTGGCGGCAGCAAGCGGGTTTGGAGGCGGCGACGCAGCGGAGGGGGAGGGGGTCGGGTTGGACATGGGCGCAGTAGCGAGGGGGAAGGGAGGAGCCACGTGGAGATGGAGTTGGGGCGGTGGCATCGCGTGGGGCTGCGGCGGTGAGAGGCGCTTTGGTGGTCGCGTGACGTGCGAGGCGGATTTTTTTTGAGAGAGCGTGTCTCGTCCTATCATTATCGTTATATATATATATATATAATATTATATACATAGACAAACAGTTAACATCCAACCTGTGAAAAAGTCTGTGGTCCGCCACATATTTCCCCGGAACTACAGTTGCTCGTTGTTTCTATTGCACTACAGTTGCTAGCTGTGGTAACCTTAAATGTGCCTTTAAGGGCATGTGCGAATCCAATGGTGGAGGTGGTGAGAGCACATGCCAAAATGAAAGGAGACCGTGTGCATTGGCAGTTGGGTTGGGTAATGCAGATTTAATTGTAGAACTAATTAAATATGACTTAATGATGTTTTGAGAAACTAGCTGCTGGTACCAATGTATGTGTTCCACGAGTACTAGGCAACTTCAAGCATGCAGCAGTTGGGCGATCAATGTCTGATGCTAATCTGTGATAAGAACCTCATGCATCTCCTGCAGCACCTGATTTCCAAACGAACGAACACCAGAATTCTGACAGAGATAAACACTAGTACAATAATGCAAGAAGCGCAGAGGGGTGCAATGCAAATAGCTACATGGAGACGGCTACAGCTTGTACTGTGCGTCAACGGAATCCTGCATGCACTATTATATTTATTTATTTGTAAACGGGCAGGAAAGAGGGTGAACAGAGAGTCACAGAAGAACTCATTGTTCGCAATGCTAAATTTCCAAACCAACATCTATAACAGCAATGGTTCGAATTCACACCCGGACTGTTAGACGATTCGTTCACGACATGTCTTCTCCTCCGCACTTTGGATGGCTTGGGATATTTACGGCAACTATCCGGACCGAGACAGTACAGCACTCGTCAAATTAAGCAGCCAATCGAGACCTAGATTCTTGATCTCCCGTGCGTGGGCCGTCCACCTCCGCGCCGCCGCCGCCTCCGACGCATCTCACCTTGCTCGACGTCACCTCCTCTCTCTCTCTCTCTCTCGCCTGCACTTTCTTCACTTAAAGGTGCGTGTAAAGGTTGATTTCCTTCACTTTCCGTTCAGATCGTAGCATAGTCGAATTGAGTTGCCCTAGTTGGAGGTGGATTCAACCAATTACATAACAATCGAGTCCTTTTAGTGCCCCGATTCAGATTCAGATTCAGATTTTACGATGATCGAATTGAGTTGCAATAGCGAGATGATTTGGGTGCAGTGATTCTTGTTTTACAATTGGAATAATTCGAATTGCAGATCGATCTCGAGACCTAAGAAGAATTCCAAAGCGGCGTCTCGACGAGATTCTCGGCGGCCAAGCAAAGCCGAAGCGGCGGCACCTTTATCTTGTCTTGGATGATTGGTCGTCGGGATACAGCATCCGCAAGATAGATTTGTCGGCCGACCTCGACCCCTTCTACCCTGCTCGTCCGGTAGCTGCTGCCCGCCGCTGGATCAAACGGCGGCTGCCACCGGCCATCTTCCGCTTCCAGGCACAGCGTGAGTTGACCAGGTGCTTCGCGGCCTCCTTCGACTCGATCCTGGCTATGCTGCCCGTGTGCCTCGATCCACCTCGGGGGGCTCACGTCTTCAACGTCCACAAGCGGACCGGCAGGTATTGCCCCCTGCAAGTGCCTAATACAGCTCATCCTCATCTACATCCCTGTTGATTGCGGCGCGATCTTTGCTCTCGCCGACGATTCCTTTGAGTTGCTCCGCAGACCGTTTGACGAGGACACGGAGTCACCGGAGTCCGACTCCGAGGAGTCCGGGTCCCGCCGGGAGTTGGAGTCTTGGAAGTTGGTTTGACGCAAACTCCCCGACATACGGCTGCCCTTTCGCTCCAAGGATGTCACCTCTTACGCCGTGCACAGTGGCGAACATAGCTTGTTTGTCAGCACCCAAGATAGCACCTTCGTTTACAGCACCGTGGATGTCCTGATGGGTGGTACCGAACCTTTTCAGTGGGATCGACGACGCAGCCAGTGCGTGCTACCTTTCACTGGCCGTGGCCATTTTGACTCTGAGCTGCAGGCATGGATTGGCCTTTCTCGCGAGTTCACTGGTCGCCTCTGCTCGTGCGAAGTGTTTTCTGCCTACCCTTACCCTGACGTGGAGGTGGAACAGTCGCCAGCTGTGAAGATCAGCAAGGAGGAGCGTTTTGTGCTTCACCCTCATGAGAAGCTGGTAGGTGCCACCCTTATCTCTTGTGGAGTCCGAAGCTACTACTGCCTCGTGCAGTGCGTCTCTGTTGATGAGAAGCTGGAGGAGCAATCTATGTCTGTTGTTGATGAGCTGCAGAAGCAATCTATCTCTGTTGATAAGAAGCTGGTGGAGGAGCAATCTATGTCTGTTGATGAGAAGCTGGAGGAGCAATCTATCTCTGTTGATGAGAAGCTGCTGGAGGAGCAATCTGCATCCTTGCTTCGTTTATTGACTTTCTATGTCCAGTATGACAAGAATGGAGACCTGACGGTTGGCGACCGACAGATTCGGGATTACAGCTTGCCGGAGTCTGTTTCGGAACAAGTCACAAAGAATCCTATTGCGTTCTGGATATAAACATGGTATGGATATTGTATTGCTATCATGAAATCACTCATGTAACAACCGTCTGGAGATACTTTTCAAACACATCAGCCATGGGAAGGTTCAACCATGGTTTGTAGGAAGTGATAATAGGAACAGGAATTAACGATAGCAGAGTAAATTTACCTTCCTCGAGTTAACATGATGAAATGAAGCTATAATGCTATACGGAGTATTAGTGAAATTTCAGAATGCTCATGTTTGTAGGCTAGGTCGTCTAAATATTGGGAGTACATGCGTAATGCTAGTTTGTTTCGTGTATGCCCTGTTATGCTATCCTGAGATCTTTCCTTGAAGGACAAGGAGGACGGAGGATCGAACACACATCAGTTTACATCAGTACTGCAAGAAAGAAACTATTTTGATGCATGTACTTGTGTCACGAATAGTGAGTAGGAATGAAAAAAGATGGATATTTCCGGTATCCATAGGTCGAAAAGGGGTTCAGATGCTAAATGAATAATATCTATATGAATTTAGACATTTAAATTTTCATACCGTATCTAAATCCGAATACTCAAAGTCGGATTTCCGATACATAAATGAGGATATGGTTATCAATATGTGACACTATCTATATCTGACTTTGAACTCGAGAAACAAAACGACCCGTATCCGTATTTGTAATATGTGATTTGTTTCCGTTCGCTAAATATGAGGCTGTCTGAAACAAACTCAACCCTCACTGGTTTTTGTGGGGTACCTGTCAACGTGTGCCCTATATCAAGTTATTAACTAAAGTTTCATAATTCTATACCAGATTTGAACTTTTGAGTTTCAATTTGAAATTCATTGGTTTAAATTATGTGCGGTTGGAACATAAAAAAGTGAGACCAATAACCTTCGAGCACTAGCCCTAGCCTACTGTTTACCCTAGATCGTTATCTTTCAAAATGTAATCCCTTGTACTTCTTGCAGCAGCCGGACGACGGCAACCTTGTAAATGTACTCTACTTCTTCTTAATACAAAGATATGCACACTCGTGCGTATTCGAGAAAAAAATAACCTAGGAACATAAATATTTTATTTTTAATTATTGTAATGTGAAAATGGTGTTGTCGTTGTACTTGTATGCAAGTGTGGAGAGAAATAGAAAGAATATTTGATGGCATGAGTATGTTTTATTAAGTGCAAAAGAATAGTATTCCCCAATGATCCAGAGCCTAATACCATCATATTAAGTATGTGTTGTGCCAATCGGGTGAAAGTAAGATATTTTGGAGTTGGTAGTTGGATTCGGCATAAGGACTGCACTTTGGCTCCAACGTTCGAGGAAAGCCATTAATGAAGAAAATAATGGAAGAATCTAGATAAAATATTATGTATTTTTTATTTCTGATTTTTTCATGTATAATTTGGGGATATAGTGTGCCAAAATTTAATATAAATCCCCCGTCTCTTTGAAAAAAAAATATTAAGGATGCGTTATTAGGATCGTTGGAAATATTCTAAAAGGGGTTGCCCGTGCTCTAAGGCCACCGAGGCCGGTGAAACAAGCATGTGCAAAATGCCTGGGATATGGATCAAAATATCACGCGCGGATTTACCACTCTTGGAGATAGGATGAAAACTGACAAAAAATTCTATCCTGATCTATCATGTTTTTTATTTTGATTTTGTTCGTTTTCATAATTACAGACGCGATAAGGTATTTCCCATCTATTTTTGTGGGATCTCCTTTTTATACAAGATGAACTCGTATTTATTCTGTTTTTAATCTTTGCGAGATACTATCCATTATCTAAAAAAATGTCTAGGCATTTTATGTTCGTGTGTTATGTTAATACACCAACTAACCACCGATTATGCATGTTAACGTGTTAACACACATGGTATGTTAACGTGTTAATACACCTACTAACCTCCGGTCCATGGGCAAGAGTGCGCCATCTATAGCCTCGTCGCCGCTCTGACCTGCGATGCTAGGTCTGGGGTTCGGCTCCTGCTTGGCTGCAGCTGGCTAGGGCGGAGCCTTGGTGCTCAATGCCCCCCTGGCCGGGTGTTCCCCCGGGTGTGTTGTTGGCTAGGCCCGGGTGGGCTACAGGCTTGGGCTCGGGTGGCGACGCCTGGGCCTTGTGTAGATTGCAAATTTTTGCAATCTGGACACCGTAACACGTTTCGTTTGTATTTGACAAACTTTGTCCGATCATGGACTAACTAGCCTCAAAAGATTCGTCTCGTGATTTACAACCAAACTGTGTAATTAGTTATTTTTTTACCTATATTTAATACTCCATGCATGTGTCCAAAAATTGATGTGATGAAGAGAGAGTGAAAAAACTTGGAATTTTGAGTTAATCTAAACAAGGCCCTGATTGTGGTGCTGCTGCGGTGGTGATGATTTCCAGGCGAAAGCCTTGCTGGGCTTGTAGCTGGTGGCAGCGGCGATGGCGTCCACGGGCAAGCGGCGATGCAAATAAATCAACCTTTTCTTGCTGCTATGGTTGGTTCTAGGTTATTTACCACTGTTCAAAGTGCCGGAGATTTGCTGGTAATCCTTAGTTTACCAAAGTTTGTTATACTGTGACTGATTATGTTTCCTCTTAATGAAACACATGTCATCACGAGAGCACATTTGCGCAAAAGAATTCTATAGACGAAGAAAAATACTACTCCCTCTGTCCAAAAATATGTGCTCATCTCATGTCGTGAGGAGTCTACTAATCTCAAGTTTAACTAAATATATACTAAATTTTACTTAAAGTTTATGATATCAAATAAACATCATTAGATTAATCACACCACATACTTTTATAATAAATTTATTTAGGGATATAAATGTCAATAGTATTTCGATAATGATACGCCATGGGCGGGCGTCCGTCCAAACGGACTGACCCACCCGCGCCGCTCACCTGCGCTGCGCGTTGCGCGCCTAACCCCGTGTCGCCCGTCCACATCGCGTGTTGTGCGCGCCCGCCCCACTCCGCACTCGCCACTGCCGCCCCACTCCGCCTAGATCCCTCCCTCCCGTCACACATGCAACCTGCTCCCACCCGTCGCGCACGCCGCCTGCCCGGTTGAGCCAAGGCCGGTGCTAGTGGTGCCAGCGATGGTGGTGCTCGCACGCCGCCTCTAGTGCTGGTGTTGGTGGCAATCGCGCGCCGCCACTCGCCGCCGGCTCCCACCCCCACGCCTGGAATCGACCGGCCCGATTTTCCCTATGTTGCAAAACACGTCTGAAGTATTTCAGATGTTTTAGAGGTATGTTTCAGGTGTTTTATATGGATGTTGCAATGGTAGTTTTCGGATGTTGCACATGTTGCAATGGTTATACTGGTATGTTGCAAGAGTTTGTTCAAAATGATTCATCTGTTTCAGATGCATGTTGCAAGTGTTTTATCTAGATGTTGCATATGTTGCAATGTCTATGTTGCAATTGTATGTTCCAAATGTTTCATCTGTTTCAGACGTATGTTGCAATTGTTTATGTGAGTGTTGCAAAAGTAGATCTAGGTGTAGGGTTGTTGAGCGAGGAAAAGAGAGCTAGCGCGGGAGCCATGGCGGTGTTGATGTGGGGAGGAGGTGTAGGACACGCATCGCCGGTGGGGAAAAGGCGGGGGAGTCATCCGAGCGGCGTGGAAGAGGTGGGCGCAAAGCGGTGTGGAAGAGGCGGGTGAGGCGTCGGTGTGGAAGAGACGGGGCTGAGTCATTCGGTAGCGTGGGCAGTAGAGCAGAAGGGAGCGGTCCAAACGCGGGCGCGTGCGGAAAGCAAAGTTGGTGCAGGTAGCACGCGAATCCGAGAGACCAGGGCGGAGAAGGCACAGGTGTCCGGACGCGCGCAACCGTCTGGACATCCGGGCGCTAGTCTTTCCGATAGTATTTTCTATACATCTAGTAGTTAAAATTAAAACTGATTGACTCTTTAGAAGAATGCAAGACATGCACTTGTTTTGTAACAAAGGAAGTACGTACTCAACAGCGTTCAAAATACTATCAGAAAACCAGTAAACCACTGCCCAAAATACTATCAGAAAACTGCAGCATTGTCACTAGTGATAACCCATAGTCAATTACAGGATTCATAGTAACAGATTCAGGCAGACGCAAATACGGTTAACAAACATTATCAAGCGTTGACGTATTTACAACCAAAAACCACAGCATTCTTGATCTTGATGGCTATTCAGTAACATTTTAAGGAACGCTGGCTGCCAATCGTAAGGTCCATTCTTGTCAAACTGCAGAAAGAATGTTCTGTGCCATTTCCGAAACTTAGTTGTGATGAAAAACTACTAGATAATCTTTGCAACATGTTCAAACGAACTAATCAAATTCAGAAAACATTTAGACAACGAAAGCATTGCCCCTAGTGATAAACCATAGACAATTACAGGATTCTAAGTACGGAAGACCCAGGCACATGCAAATAAGATTAACACGTTATCAAGATCGATGCCTGTTTAATTTACATTAAAAATGCTGCTGGGTTCTTGAGGGCTAACTGAGTCAATCCTGCAGGAACATTGAAGTGCTGAACCTGTAGGATGACAATCCCAACGTCTCCATTCTTGTCATACTTGAGAAAAAATTCTGTTAAACGAAACAAACAGCAACTGTGTCTAGAAACGTCTTGGTTGTCGTCATCCAGCTTGCCGTCATCCATCGTCTCACCGACGATGTCTTTCTCAGAACCATCTGCCTCAACGATGCTGCTGCCATTCGTCGTCGCATCAACAGAGAAGCACTGCACCAGGCAAAAGTTGCTTCTGCCTCCCATGTACACCAGGGTGGAACCCACCTGCGTCTCCACCGGGCTGTTCGGGCCGAACTGCTTCACCTGCCTCTCCACCACGCTGTCCTCGCCGAACAGCTTCTCCTTGCTGAGCTTCTGCGAGCCGTCCATGTAGACCAAGCAGAGGTGGCCAACCGAGCCTGGAGCTCCGGACTAGCAGAGATATGGGCTGTAGTCCCGGTTCTTAACCATCTTTAATTCTGCTTTTAAAATCGAAACTACGTAATCGGAACTAAA